GGGATTTTCTGTGGTAGGAGAAACTGCATGAATTTTTCCTTTACTTAATAAATGCCTCAAAAGAAAATCCCAACACATCGTGAATGCGTGGTGGTGTTTGAAGGCATCAGACGTGGAGCACAGATGCTTTTGTCTCACAATGTGCTCAGCCTGCTGTTTTGGAATTTGTTCGGTAAATGTGTTTCCATTGTAGTTTATGCACATCTTTTTTTATCGAATAAAAAGTTTATCGTATTCAGTTATGTGCATATGTTTTTATGTGCATTTTCAAACTTATACATATCACTGCGTTTCCATCAACCATTTTTATGCGCAAATCCAAAATAAAACATAGCTATTGTATAAAGATGGTTTGTTCTGTTGACAATCGAAAAATAAATATTGCTTAACGGGGCTAAAAATATTGACCTTAAAATGTTCTTTTTATTAAAAACTGCTTTCATGCTAGCCGAAATAAAACATATAAGAATTTCTCCAGAAAAAAAATATATTATAGGAAATACTGTGAAAAATTCCTTGCTCTGTTAAACATAATTTGGAAAATATTTTAAAAAGAAAAAAATCCCTGATTAGACTGTTTGTATGTATAGTAGGACTGGGCGATAATCAAATTAAAATCTGAAACATGATTATTAAAAAGCTGCGATTATCATGCCGATTATCTTATCAGGGGAACATGGCTCTGTGATCAATTGTAAATGCCCTCTGAATACCAGAGAGCACGCTTGTGCGGAAACTCCAAATTCGGCAGCTAGCTCTCTACAACTCTCACATGGACGCCAGCTAAAGCTAAGCAGGGCTGTGCCTGGTCAGTACCTGGATGGGAGACCACATAGGAGAGCTAGGTTGCTGCCGGAAGTGGTGTTAGTGAGGCCAGCAGGGGGTGCTCAACCTGTGGTCTGTGTGGGTCCTAACGCCCAAGTATAGTAAAGGGAACTCTATACTTCTCAGTGAGCACCATCTTTGGATGAAATGTTAAACTGAGGTCCTGACTCTCTGTGGTCGTTAAAAATCCTAGCATTTCCTTTGAAATAGAGTAGGGTTTAACTGGCCAAATGTGCCCACTGGCCTCTTAACCATCCCCATATCATAATTGGCTTCATCACTCTGTCTCCTCTCCACCAATCAGCTGGTGTGTGGTGTTTGGTCTGGCGCAATGTGGCTGCTGTTTCATCATCCAGGTAGATGCTGCACACTGGTGGTGGAGGAGATTCCCCCCAACGTGTAAATCGCTTTGAGTGCCTACAGTAGAAAGGTGCTTTATAAATTAACGTAAGGAATTATTAAATTCATCCCGAAGAAGAAACTCCCTATAGTGCAGGGTCCTGGAGGGCCGATGTCCTGTAGAGTTTAACTCCAACCCTAATCAAACACACCTGAAGCAGCTAATCAAGCTCCTACTAGATATACTAGAAACTTCCTGGCAGGTGTGTTGAAGCAAGTTGGAGCTAAATTCAGCAGAACACCGGCCCTTCAGGACCGAGTTTGGACACCGCTGCTATAGTGGTTACTAAACAGGAGATTTAATAACTTTCACTTATTCAACGTGACTAAACATCACATTTTCTCACAGGAGGATATATGTCAAACACTCCACTGAAGTTATGATGTGAGTTTGGACTAAAACATGCTATCAAAACTATAAATACGACTTTGTTGTCCTATATGTTATTTTCGGTCTCAGGTCAGGGTGCACTATGTTATATTACTTATTGCAATATTGTTGTCATATATTGACACATTTCTTGGAGCATTGTATGGTTACACTTGAAGCACTGAAGTCACATGGAATGTTTTGATAATGTTTTTGGTTTTGGCTTTTTCTGGACACTGAACCATTCGGGACTGTTGCTGTCTATGGAGGGTCGGAGAGCTCTTGGATTTCATGTAAAATATCTTAATTTGTGTTCCAAAGAGTGAAATAACATGAGGGGGAGTATTTAAACAGAATTGAGAGGGCTCCTATTTTACAATTTTTTAAAGATTTAAGACAAGTATTTTGTATCTCCAGAATGTGTCTGTAAAGTTTCAGCTCAAAACATCTATCAGATCACTTATTATACCTTTCAGAGCATTGGAATTTTATGCTCTGAACACAATGTAGCTGTTTTTGTTGCCTGCGCCTTTAATGCTAGTTCTCCTCGCCCACCGTTCCCACGTGCCTGTCAGAAAGTGCCTTAATCTCCAGCTGCGTCAGATGAACAGCACAGTGACAGACATGAAGGAAGCAGATTTCACATAGCGTTTGTGAGAAATACTACATTAAGAACTTTCCCAATGATTATTTGATGTATTTGTTGTGGAGTTAATTCAAGACTTTCAATGAGTCACAAACAATGTCCTTACAAGGCTCATGGACAGACACAGACACAAACACCCAGCAGACACACACACACACACACACACACACACAGTGCGTGTGTTTAACTTTGCACTGTTATTGAGGAAAGTAATGTGGCACGAAAGTAACGTGGGACGAAAGTAACAAAGCTATTTTCTCGAAACCCTGACAACATTTGCTTTCCAAACTATAACAGCACATTCAGCATGAATCCTTTAAGGGAGCTGCCAAAAATATCACCTGATTTCCGGACCGTGTCACGCAGTTACATCCGAATTTCAGTTTTTAAGAGCACAAAGAAAATTATTGTAGCTTTTTTTTTAATTCCTATTACAATTTTTCTTTCTCTTTTCATGTGTCACACAAATGATCAACCTACAGGTTATTTAGTGCAGTAACACATGCTTAAGATTACAACCTCTAAGTTTTTCAGTTTAAAAGTAAATCAGGTTTAAATGGCAATAGCTCCTGTAACACTGTTATTTATGTCCCAATGCTAATAGACAAATCCTATTTTTTACTTTCACATTAGAGTTTTCAGTGTTTTGATTCAGATGTCTTATAAAACTAAAGCATATTGCCAATAATAATTTTAAAAACATTCAAAAAATTTTGAAAATTGTGACATATTGCATTGTCGGACTGCTTTTGAAACATTTGATGAACTGAAATTTAAAATGAAAATGCTGTTTAATATTTTTTGGCAAAAAATAAAGAATGAAATATGTTTGCAGTGATCATTAACAAGGTCATAGTCATATATACAGTATTTAAAATAAAAACAAGATTAAGCCAGTAAATCTAGCAAATATTTGGTTACTTTTGACCCACCTGTGAGTTACTTTCATCTCCACTGACAGGCTCAAAAGTAAGAATGTGCAATTTATGTTTAAAGTAAAATTATTTTGAAGTTGTTCTACATTTTTTCAAAATACCTGATATTGATAGACCACGCTTCTGAGTTAGTAATCACAGCAAAAACTATACTTCTGTCTAAATCTTAAACCTATTTAAAAATAGGTTTTCTAATATTTAAAGTTTATCTAATATTTAATCAAGGTCCAATTTACTGTGTTAATATGAAGTCATATTTAGTGTAAACTTTCCACAGGTGTTTAAACAATATTCTGACAACAGCTACAACAAATTAATTCACTCTCATGCTTTTCCAAATCTGAATAAAAAAGAAAGAAAGATGAATTCCCTGCTGAAAAATCCAGCTTAAACCAGCCTAGGATGGATGGCTGGTTTTAGCTGGTTGACCAGCCTGGTTTTAGAGGGGTTTTGACCACTTCCAGGCTGGTTTCCAGTCATTTCCGGCCTGGTTTTAGCTGGACAG